AAGCCCGGTCAACTCTTGGATATTTCAATATCGATATCCGATAAATTTTAAGGAAACCTCAAAGTTTGGCAGGCATAAGAAACAAGTATTCGTGGCGGGTTCAGATCTAAGATGAGAGGGGACCCGTCCACTGAATTAATTTTTTCTCGTCGTTTGGTCTAATAGAATAAGGTGATAGCCGCAACAGGGCCCTCCCACAGGCCCGCCACTGAATCTTTCAGTAGACAGTCCAATCATATCTAATAAGTGGATAGTCTCTTCTTTTCGTATGTTTTAAAATAACTCAGGATAACTGCACTTTCTCGTATCAATCTTACAATAGAAAAAAGACCTTCCTAGGCTCTTCAATTGATTGGCTATTGCAGAATCTGTAATTTTTTCAAAATTAAAGCGCGCAAATGTGGAAAGCACTATCTTTCCGAAAAAACAATTTGCAACCCAAAGTTTATTCTATAATTTCCCAAGGCCTAAAGGCCACTGGTGCCGAAGTGCTATATGTTTTCTCAGACACACGCGTGGAGCTCGCACTCACAAGTCTTTGCGCCAACAAAGAACCCGTTTAATTTCAAGTTTAGCGCTAAAAATAATAATCCGTTATAAGCAAGACTATACACTGAATAATCCAGGAAGAAACTGACCAGGCACTTGTAGGCCTCAACGAGGACTAAATACAACATTAGAGACCTTTAGATCCTAAGAACGAGTACGAGAACGAGATTGTCTCAATGCTGAGTAAGGAGCGTGCGTCATTTGGCTGGAAAATGTGATAGCCGTCGTTTCTTCGTTTCTTGCCTTTTTTCCCACTAAGGAGCCTGTTCCCGGGCTATAGTAGCGGAAAAAAGTTATCAAAAAATTTTAAAAGTTTCGTCATTTTGCGATCAGGAGAGGGCCTAACCTCCTCCTGTAAGAATAATGGTGCTATTTTTTCGGGTAAATAAACGTAAAATGAAGCTTTCCGGGGTGTCTTTCTTTTGAGAATACGTGAAAAAAACCTTAAGTTAAATCTCGTCCTCGTCCTCGAATCTAAAGGTCTCTATTACACACTACTAAGCAATCAAACAATACACTTTATTAAAGTAGGGTTACACATAGTAGTGTAAAGGTGCTCTATAGACCTCACTTTTATTTGTGTGCTTTAGAACCGAGCACTTACTAGAAAATAAATTATTTCCCTTGAAATAAACGTCGGCGAAAGAGATTGGAAGAATATGACTTAGAAGTCGTAATTGTTTAGTTTTTATGCCAAAATTAGTCTTTTGAAAAGAAAAAACAGTTTTCTATAAAAACAAAAATACGGTCTAAGATCCCCGGTAAATCGGTTACAACATTATCTCAATCAGGCCGTTTTACCATCCCTAGCATATTGCTGTGTTATCGTTGAAGAGTTCAACTCGTTTTAGCTTTTTCTGGACGCTTTTGTTGTTGTTGTTGTTTTCAGAGGTCTAAGTCCTTCTCGACTTTATTGAATGCGCTCAAGAATAGCCGGTACATCTGCAAAATCTTAGACATATTTAACTTTACTGTGTATACATGTTTGTCGAGGCGAGATCAATTGACACCCAATTGGCTCAAAATTTTCTTAAATGGGGCATCCATTCAAAAGCAACGTTTGAACACGAGGCCTCGTTGAGAAGTTGAATCGTTGAGAAGAATACACTGGGTGTAAGAGTAGCGGGGCTGAACTTTACCCGTAAATTGCCAAACAATTTTAACTGCTAATGCAATACGTAAGCAATCGTGTTAAGTTGTAACAGCCTAAACTAAATAAATGACATTGTACCGGAAAATTCAATAGCCCATAATATTGTTCGTATGAACAGCTGCACTTGAGCTTTTTTAAACGCTGCCTTGTAAAGCCTACACTCGGCCTCTACCTCTCGCTAAAGTGTTAGCATTTCATTCTCCAGGTATTTTTCAAGCATTTAATAATCAGATTCATATTATGGTCATGCGAACGTTCATTTAACACTGAACCTTACTCACGCCCTGCTAACTTTGTCTTTAACAACATTTATCATTCGCCATTTTGATATATTTTAGACTTCTTCTGTTTACGAGAAAAAAAACGAGAATTGACCTTTTTAAGAGACTTAATCCATATTACAACATCAAGTGCCATTTGTCCTCACGAAACACATACTAGAGTTCGCATCAGTTAACTGAAAACTACTAAAAGTCTGTCATAGAATGTATCCGAGCATTGAGACTGTTCTGGTTTGCCTCCGTCTGTTCGGCCTAGTTAGGCAAGTGAACACCCGTTTTCTTAGCTGTTTAATGTTTGTTTTACAATTATTTTTAAACCGTTTTTCTTTACGCTAAAGTATATCGAGATTTCTTCTAATATTATTATTACTATATATACTATTTTGGCTTCACAACTATTCCTTTTAAACAGTCCCTTTGACGCTGAACTATGTCAAGGTTTCTTTCAATGCCTTTATCACCAGATGGAGGTTTTATTTACCCGCCGTAGTTTTTTTTTATAAACGAATCCGTTTAACTTTACTTTGTGCTAGAACTGATAATGAAAGAAACTGAAACAGTATATTACTACTGTACTCTCTTTGCTTTGCTAAATGAGATAACTCTCGAACTCGAGAAGGTAATTTACGATGTTCCGTATTTAACAGAGGTATTCAATGGTAATGATATGAAACTTCTGAAAAAAAAGAAGAAACTATTACAATATGAAAAATGAGTTAAACTTAATTATTTATTTTATCCTGCGTTTAAACAAGATGACTCAATTATGTACATCACTTCCATGACCATTAAGTAGAGAATAAATTTTTAATTGTCATCTGCAATATACATTTTCTTTTCACAGGACTTAAAAGCATCTGAATAAACGGTTTCCGTTGCTCTTCAACTCAATGAAGAGTTATTACAGATTAACTAGAAGAAACAATTGACAAAAAAGGAAAGAAAACAAGGGAAAAACAAAACCAAATCCGGCATGAATAACAGCTCAGGAAAAAGTGATCAAAACATCTCTGCCCAGGATCAGAGCATGTTTGACTTCCGGTCCCAAGTGGTAATAACTTCCGCTGTTTTTATTATTGCTTTTATTGGCAATGCGTTTGTTATAGCAGTAGTGAAAAGAAAGACCAAAAGGCCTATAAACGATCTGTTCATCGTTAACTTATCTGTTTCTGACATACTGTTCGTTGGAGTGTGCTTGATAAGTTACATTTTTCTGGCATTAAAACCAGGCTTGTTCTACTGTACCGCCATACGGCCTCTCCCTACTATTGCGTTCTGTGCAAGTATTTTCACCATGACTTCCATGGCGGTTATAAGATGTCGGATCATGTGTTATCCGCACAAGCCAAAAGTGCGAAAACAAAGAGTCTATTGCTGGATCTTCACTATCTGGCTGTTGTCATTGATTATCAATTTACCAACCTTGCTTGTTGCCATGGTTACATCACAGGGAAAATGCCAAGGAAAATGGCCCTCGGTGAGATACAAAGACGCTTATATCATCGGTTTCTTGTTATTAAAGGTCATTTTGCCGCTGATCATTATAACAAGTGCCTACGTGAAAATCGGATTGTTTCTAATGAAGAACAAACGTCCACAAACCTGCTTAAATGAAAATCGAGCACTTAAGTACCGACACATTACAAGAAAGGATAACATACAAATAATTCGAGTACTAGGGGCAGTGATAATCATGTTTGGTTTGTGCAGCGCCCCGCATCAAATCGCCTGGATGTTATACCACTTTGGAAATAAAAAGGAGAAAGAAATCGGAGGAGCAATTTTCATTTTTTCTACAACTTTGCAGACCATACACGCCTCTATAAATCCTTTTATATATGGAATTATGTCGAAACACTTCCGAAAGGAATACATGAAAATTTTGGCTACATTATTCAACTGTTTTACATGTAATCGCTACTGCGTTGAAAGAGTCGTCATTGAAAATATACCCGCTGAAGACCTAATGTATCACAGCTCAAGAATGAACAGCAAAACTAAACGGTCGGACGACAATGAAAGGATTATTAACGGAGAGGTCTCTGAAGAGGAGCGTTCGGCACATGACGGATATTCAGCATAACGGCAATCATGACTTGATTGCATCAGGCGAAAAACCATGGAATACAGGGTTGGTCTTTGAGTTTGAGTTGATATAGGCCAATAACGCGTCTTTGGTATAGCCTCCCAAGCAGACTTCCATCCCCGTCTGCGTTGGCAATGTTACAAAATCACAGCTTTGCATTAGAGACCTTTAGATTCTGAGACGAGTACGACTACGAGTACGAGATTTCTACTAAGTAAGTGCGCTCGCGTGAACCAGCGTCATTTTGGCGGGAAAACCTGGTAACCGTCGTCGTTCTACTACCAGTTTTAGCAAGAATGTCGTGTAAATGGCGGAAACGAGTTATCAAATGTAAAAAGTTTTATCATTTTGCGAGCGCGAGAAGGCTTAAACTCCTTCAATATAGATAACAGTGCTATCTTTTCTAATGAAAAAAATTAAAGTATAATGAAGCTTTCCGGGGTGTCTCTTTTTTGAGAATGACACCAAAGAAACTTTAAGTTGAATCTCATACTCTTAGTCGTTTTCGTCCTCGAATCTAAAGGTCTCTATTATCAAACAGATATCTCTCCCAAAGTTTTAAAATCAAACGTTTCAAGTCAACTTTGAAAAACTGTCAGGTTAATCTTCTACAAATTTGCCAAGTGTAGACATAGACATAGACACTTCATGGTAGAAATATGCTTCGCCGTACGGCTGGTTTACAGATATCCCACAGGTTAAATTAGGACGGCAGAAATTTAGATACAAAATTTTAGAAATTTGAATTACTAATTGTCAAGATTATGAACTACAATAGCGATATAATTTAAAGCACCCTGACCTGAAATTATGACTTTATGGCAAAAGTGATAAAAATTCTAAAAATCTTAAACTTTAAACCATGAACCCTGCCAGCAAATTCCTTAGTTCCACCTAAAGTACGAAAATTGTCTGCTGGTAAAGTGTTCCA